GAAACACAAAGTGGATGGCTTGAGAACAGCCAGGACACTGGAAGCAGAGAGCATGCAGAGGCCACCTAGCCAAAGAACTACGCAGTCAGCAAGCCAACAAAAGTGGTGCCAAACCAGAATGGCTTCAGCATATCAGACTTCCCAGCTCACACTGTCAGTATCAGATCTAGGGAAGAATCTAAGCTTTGAACTTTGATTTCTGCCACTAGTATTTCCTTTAGTTCATCATTTCCTCTTCTTCCCACTGCTGAACTCACCATCCTGGTACTTAGACATCTTTTTTTTTTCTCCTTGATATAAGAATTTCTTACCTTCACTCCATTATTTCCTTTCATTTGCTTTCCCTTTTCTCTTACCTTCTCCTACATTCTGTTCAAGAATTAAAAACTAATATAACCACAAATGGGATAACCACTAAGATTAAGTAAACTAGTAGTCAGGCAACTGCTCTCTTCCCCATTCCTTCATTCTCCCATCAGCTGAAATAATAACTTGACATCATTCTTAGAACGTTCCTTAGATCACCTTAGGATTTTCTAAAGGGTTCTCGTAAGTTCTTGTAATAATCTTAAATATTTTAAAACATTTTTAGACAGTTAAGGCCTGAGAACACCTCTGAAAGTGATTGAAAACTTGCATTCACTAACATCCAGTCACAGGACACTCAGATTCACAGGTGTATACCTCAACAGGTATAGAAAATACTCCCAATATAATCCCCTTCTCTATGGATCTAAAAGTAATTAGCTTCTCTGCAGAATATATTTTGCATCTATACCAGAGGTAGTTGACACAGCTTATGGAGTAACTCCAAGGGTCACAGTCAACATCTAACCAAGACATTAGGAAAATCAGTTCAGTGTCTGATGCAAGACATGATGACGTGCCAATAAGCAACTAACAGAAAAATTACAAAAGCATGTAAAAAAACAGTTACAAAAAGTAATTTCTAGTTTAGGATCGCCATTATCTTGATCCATGTCAAAACCATCCAATTTCTATATCAGCCTCCAATCATCAGGGAAAGACAAAAGAGATGCTTAAAACTTTCTACTTCAGTTACCGGTTTATGCCTGTGTTCCACTCATATTTGGTAATAATGTATGATTTAATTTAGGGTAGGAAAATAAATACAACAAGTGACAATGAAAAAGGAAGGAGTCCAATGAGTCTGGGCATGTCCATATCAGACATAGGAAGAACAGTTTATGTATTTTGTTAACTGTTCCAAGTTTACCCACACCACCTGTCAGCCTATAATGGGAATAAATAACTAAACAAACAAAAACCATCCCACAAACAAAAGAAGAAAAAAACCCCAAAACTAATATTCAGTGATAGATAATCAACATAAAAGGCAGGTAAGGGACAAGAATCTGAAGTTTTAGTTAGAAAAACAGCTTATCGGGAGAGTACAGCTTTGACACAGGTAGTTTCACTACCTCAAAATGCTTTTATCAAATGTTTCAGACATGGCTCTTTGTGAAGGATTTGACATTTTTTGTCTCTGTCGTGTCATACACAGCTTAGGTAAGACACACATTTCTCAGTGATGCTAATGGAGTTGCAAAGACCTCTCTCATTCAGCAAGTCAATCCTTTAACTCTACTCATCACGTAAGTGTTTAAAAGGACAATTTTCAAACCATTAAGCAGAACTCATGATGTTTGAGATCAACTATAAATCATTTGGTTACAAGATGTAGTATTTAAATAATTATAGCTACTTAGCTGCTATTGTAATGTTAATCAGGTGTATAGAACATTTGCTTATGAAATTTTATTCCTCAGACACAGAATACTAAAATGTTTTCTGGTAAGCTTACTCCTTTCTCCTTTAAATAAGGTGTATTTCCCAGCTTCTCTGATCTTAAGCTCAACACCCAATCTATCTCAAACTTAAAATTTATCCATGAAGAAATATTTCCCAAGGAAAAAAAATAAAATAGAGGATTTGAAACCCAAAAAACCCCAAAGCATGACCTTTTTAGAGAAAAATATAAAGCTCAGACCAGACGAAATTTACAAAAAAAAAAAAAATCATCAATGAAGTGACCAAGTACACAGTTGTTTGATCTGAAAATCAACTGATTAGCAATAAACCAGAAAACAAAAGTCTTTAATTGCAATCATCACATATTGCTGTCAGTGACTACCATATCATGTAACAGCACCTTGGACGCATACTGAATACTGAACGTCTTTCCCTCCTGCCCCTGCCCAGTTCAGATTAGCCTTTATTAAAGAATTCAGTGAAAGACCAAATAAAATGCTCAGAATATTTGTTTTCTGAATGTTAAGATCTTTGTTGATTTTTTTCTGGTCTCAGAAGCAGCTCATTTATGATGGAGGATGCCAGCTAAACTAACAAGAAGGACATGTGTCAGCGCCTCTCTGATGCCATCGATAATGATGGGGTTCACCCTCTCTACCCAGAAGTCACACTGTTGAAAGGTTTTTTCCTATTAGTTTTTTAGTATTTTTTGACATGCTAACTGGTAGGACTTCAGCCCTACTGTAGTTGATCTACGAGTGGCTAGCTCAGAAGTGTCCATATAAATGCAGCGAAGGTTGGAGGGCATATTCAACAGTCACGAATGGCAGCAATGTTTTACATCACTGTGTTGTACTGCAGCAATGAATGAGCTGAAGTTAACAAGGTAGAAATTAAGATTGGTAAGGCCCATATATACCAAATAACATAAAGGAAAATAACTATCCCAAGTCCCACCTGTTTAACACCACTGAAGTCAAGATGAGAAAGAAGAGAGAAAAAGAACTATTTTACAATATTCGTAGGCACGTAGTTATAGTGCCTAAATTAGAAGATTTTAGTATCTTGATAAATAACTATATTTTGGCAGCCAACTCACAGCAAGTCACTGGAATACCCTAGTCCTTTCCTGAATATTGCCACTGACTAAAGGAGAAACCTACTTTTTAAATCCAGAATCCAAATTAGGTGTCTGAAGTTGAACACTGTTGAGATCTCCCACTGTCCACTACAACAGATATGAAATTAACATTGTAAATTTAAAATGTAAAGATGAGCTGACAAAACTTTAGACAGCATTTGGATGATATTTCTACCTAAAGTACTGTCACACTTTCCATTTCAGTAAATAAATATCACTACATTTTCCCCCTCAGAAAGAGAAGCTATAATTTCTCACAAACTTGCTCTGAATTTATTTGTATTATATATAGCACACTGAAGAACTGAAATTAGCCCCATGAATTTAAACATTTTGGTGTTTGTTACTGTCATTTGCTCTATCAGAGTACTGCATCATCTAAACCAAAAAATACTGAAGAAGTTTGGGTTGGTTTTTTTTTAAACCTACTTAGGAAAACATAGTTCTTAGTTTTTAAAAAAAAAGAGATTGTGATTGTTAAGACACAAGACAGAAGCATTCGTGTTTTGTTGTTATTGCACAAACCATTCCCTACAAACCCTATATGCTATACTCCTAAAATAAAATTTTAATTTTCCACTACTTCAGAACACAGGCTACTTATTTGTAGTCTATATATTGTGGTGATACATCAATTTTATAGTGTCCACATTTAGTTTTGAAAACATTCACTATTATTTACAAGTGTATTTCCCATTATAAGGTTTCCACCACCACCCCCCCTTTAATCTATGAACGCCTGTCCCTTAAAATATTTTGAAGTTGCTGAGCTTAATATGTCTGTTGAAGAAGGCAAAGGAAGAAAGTTGTTTCACGTTGGCAGTCATTTACTCAGCAAGAAACAATTATATACAGCCCAGTTGTGCAAGCATTATTTTTCTTTTCTTCATCTCAGTTCTTGAGAAAAGAAGCAGACTGTTCTACTACAAAGCCCTTCATAATAATAAAGATACTGGTATGTGTGCTGGGACGTTTGATAAAGAAAGCCCAACTTTTCATTTAAAGGACAATTCCTCAACCGTAAACATAGTGAAAAACTCAACTTTGAAAATTTTAAAATTGGTTCCATTTGAACAACCTTATACTAGAATACAATCTTGAAAATTCTGATTCAAATTTAAGTGGAATATTGTAATTTAAATGAATGTTCCCTACAAAGTTGAAATTCATTTAACACAAATATTTTAGTAGACTTCTTTCTGTGATGATAGTAGTTATCAGTTGCTATTACTGAGAATGCAAATATATCTGCAACATGTAACAATGTTAACAAAAATAAGACAGTCTTTAAAAAGAATATGAATTCAACCCCTAGGTAGTCTCTATAAAAATTACCTTTTTTAAAAACATTTTTTTCTGAAAAAAAAAAAGCCATCTGCCTGTTTTAACCAGTAAAAATGTGCTGCTAAGCACTATAAACATGCTTAATCAAGGTCTGTATTGGCAGCATTCCAGAAACCTGCAAGGCGCACTCAAATTACATAAAAAATAGCAAGTTACAATTGTTGACATCTTCAGTATAAAATGCTTAGCATAAGGTATATCTCTCAGCATTCGGGCTGGCATCTCTCAGAACTCAGAAGATTAAAAAGCAGCTAAACTTGCACGCTTTGGTAAATACACAAGTAAACTCTTCATCGTCCAAATTCAAAGCAAGGAAGACCCATTTAGCCATGACCAAGCTGCTGTCAACTTCAACACCAAATATGAGCACAGGTCCTGCAGCCTACAAAACCCTTCTGAAACGCTAAATTCATTTTTTTTCCTTTAACAGAGATTAATATCCTTCAGGCTTTGGGACTGTAAGTACGTTCAGATGAATGAGGTCAACAGCCACATTTGTAAGACAAGCTGCCATGGATTAATTTCCAAGAGACAACTGGTTTATTCAGGTTAAAGAAGGGTGAGTACAAATAAAAAGAAGAAAAAACTCATAAGGTATCTCTGGAGTGAGATACTTACTGCATTAATTTTTTGAATCAATTATTCACTGTATATTTGGTGCCACCTCTATAGAGCTTTAATTGAACTACTTGAAAACACATACCTGATAGCAATATTCCAGATATTGTTCAGCCATGCTTACCTTTGAAGAAGCAATCTTCGTTGTGTACAATGGTGACCTTTTGCTTTTTCAGACAGGCAGCCCTGTGCACTTCGCAATGGTTTTCATAGAATTCTCCGTCAGAACCACACACAGGCTTGTAATGCGGCTTGCAGTGCTGCATGCATAGACACTCAGCTTGACCAGTCTCCCCATTCAGAACACAGTGTCTTCCCAGACCACAGTACTTGTTTTCGCATGATCCGAAACGTCCATCTTGACCCATATACCCTTAAAATGGAAAAAAAAAAAAAAGTAGCTTTGAGATATTAATTACATTTTGTTTCATTGCATGCAACATACAAAAAGGATTGCATTATGTAAATGAAGTGAGACTATATCCTTTGTTACATCCTTGACTAATGCTTAACATAGGTCAGCCTGAAATGAAACAAATTTAACCTCGTTATCATGACTAGGTAATACTTTTAGTCATTGTCATGTGTTAGATTAACTATAATTAAAAGCAACATCTAGTAACAAGAAAAGATTTGATCAAAAAAAATCATAGTAAATCATGTCTTTTTAAATGTATATTGAAGTTTGTCACCTTAAGATTGCCATGCTATTGCAGGTAATAGAACAATGCATTCTCTGGAATTTAGTTCACAGAATATCTCAGATTGGAAGGGACCCATAAGGATCATTAAGTCCAACTCTGTGCTCCTCACAGGACTACCTAAAACTAAACCACATGACTAAGAGCATCATCCAGATGCTCCTTGAACTCTGACAGGCAGATAAAATAGACATTCACACATCGAGACCGACACCCAAGAATAACTAGAGCTGGGTCAAGGCTCTTAACCAATATGGAGAAGAAAAAAAAATACCTCTGTGGTGGCAAGACAATGACCTTTCAGGGAACAGAGCACGGTGGAAGAGCAGGACTGATATATCAAGTGAATAGTGGCTAGAAGTCTACCTCTAGTGGTATTTCAATGAGACAAATGGAATTTGGATAACAAACAGAGCTTTAAGGGGAAGTTAAGTGCACAGTGATATCTCTTTAGCATAGCCTCAGTTTCCATCTTGACTGCCATAGAACTAACTATGCAGTCACTTCTTGGTGAGGGAAAGGGTACAATGAGAAAAAACAAACCAACCCACCCAACAGAATTGTCAATTGCAATTACCAGAACTTCAATTATATAGGTGTTATGATACCATAATTGTGTCCTAAAATAAGTATAAAAATACTAAAATGTCTCTAGATGTGGGAATAAACACTGCCCTTCACGGTTCCTTCATTTTATTCTCTTGCCGTACACTCCTAACCTGCAGAACAAACAAGAACTTGATCCCCAAATAATATATACACCTAGTATTCTAATTTCTTGCAATATTTTCCTTATCCTCACAGCCTAGCTGAATGACACATGGGTGCCCCATAGAAAAATAGCATGAACAAACAAATGGCAATGCGTAATTTGGTAGTATAGCTTAATTTTCTGTAGTGAAGAGCTAATGTGTCAATACCATAGTTTGACGCACATTGCTTCTAACCATTGAGAATTTATGGGTTTTGCTACAGTGGCAGAAGTAAATTTTTAGCACTTTTTCTTCTTAAGCCTACAGGTCCATTAGGCCTAAGACAACAGTGCTTTGATTCTTTGCTTTCTCATACAGCACAGATTTCCTACAGACAAATGTACTACAGAAAGCACGCAACCATGAAATTTGGCTCTAATATGACAAATGCTTTTGCTGTATAATTTCATAAGAATTTGAGCACAAAGTTGAGAGGACTACATATTCACCTCAGATGTTGTATTTCTGATATAGCAGATGAAACAGTATAGACCAGGCTGATGGTAGGTTTAACTGTTCACACACCAAACTGACTCAAAATGGACAAGCCCAATTCAACATTAAAAATTTCCCATAAATTCTTGAAAATATTACTCCTTGTGCCAACGTACCACCACTATATACAAATCAACAGACATTAACTGACAGAAATTAACACGAATCCAACTTCCTTCTACTATCACTAACTTCAGATAAAGTCTTGCAATGTCCCAGAGTACTTTGCAGCACAGGTCACATACACACATTACAGAATTACAGGATTTCTTTGAAGTAATAGAACTGTTGCAGTTTGAGGCCAAAGTCCATAAATCATTATTATTTCTGCTTTCCAAATTGGAAGATAAAGATCTCAATCTGACAACTGCTCTGAATTATTGAGAGGTGTGTGGTGACTAAAGAATGTGGAGTGCTGTATAGCACCGAGAAAGCAGAAACCAATTTAAGACTTCACTTGGGACTTCATTTCAGTACTATAATTGAATCTGATGCCTGAATGCAAAACAGCTACTTTCAGATGAGTGAGAATTATTTGCATAATATACATTGATATTTATAATATTTGTATACGTCAGCATATACCAATCATGTACATCAAGAAACAAGCAAGCTTTTTGCCCTAATGAAAAACTATATTACTTTGTTATGAAATGTTTTATAAATGTCTCCATTTTACACCATTAGCTATTCCAAAACAATACATATATTTGCATACATCACTGCAGACTCAACTCCTTCTATTGAAGTTGACAGTAAAATTCCCATTGACCTCAATAGAGGCAGGATTCTTTCTTCAGACTGCCATGGTTTAACCCCAGGCGGCAACTCAGCACCGCCCAGCCGCTTGCTCACTCCACTCACGGTGGGATGAGGGAGAGAATCAGAAGAGTACAAGTGAGAAAACTCATGGATTGAGCTACAAACAGCTTAACAGGTAAAGCAAGTCACACGTGAGCAAAGCAAAGCAAGGAATTAATTTCACTACATCCCATGGGCAGGCAGCCATTCAGCCATCTCCAGGAAAGCAGGGCTCCGTCACGCATAGCAGTTACTTAGGAAGACAAATGCCACCACTCCAAACATCCCCCCCTTCCTTCTTCTTCCCCCAGCTTTATATGCTGAACATAACATTGTATGGTCTGGAATAGCCCTTTGTTCAGTTGGGGTCAGCTGTCCCAACTGTGCCCCCTCCCAGTTTCTTGTGCACCCCCAGCCTCCTCGCTGGTGGGGTGGGGTGAGAAGCAGAAAAGGCCTTGACTCTCTGTAAGCACTGCTCAGCAGTAACTAAAACATCCCTGTATTACCAACACAGTTTCCAGTACAAATCCAAAACATAGCCCCATAGCAGCTACTATGAAAAAAATTAACTCTATCCCAGCCAAAGCAAAAAGTTCACAAACATAACTTGAATAAAAATTTGAACCCAATTCTGAAAATGTGAACAAACCAATTTATATTAAATAGCTACTGTGAGAGAAAATTAAATGGGTTTAGACATAAGCAAGATGTTTTTAAAATAATCTAGTGATGCAAATCTGGGAATTTTAAGACTATCAAAAGAAAACAAGGATATATGTAATGGCATGGATTCGATCATCATCAGTTAAGTCAAAATACTAGCTTTACCATGAATGATCAAATCAAATTAACAACAGGTAAAAGGGCTCATGCAGTTGTTTTGGATATTTTTCTTTCATCTGAGTAAATTATAAAGCCCTAAGTGCTGAAACTGAATAATAAAGAAACAACTGCAAAGAACTATTTGTAAATAGTACTGAGAGCAGTTTTTCCACAGATACTTATGCTTCCTCTTTACATTTCTGAGGAATTATCCATAAAATATTAGGACAACCAGACTTCTGATTCACAGAGGAATAAGCCAGTGAAACAAAGGAGATACTAAGGCTATTCAAAACATTGGGTAAGGGGCACTTACTAGCTATGAATAAAAAGCATTAGCATTTTGCTGTTAAGAGCTGGGGAAAAAAAAAAAGCATTTTCCTACAACAATGCTACAACATCAGTAATCTTTTTGTTTACACAAATGCATCATCTTTGAGTCTTAACTCATTCACCAAATAATTCCTTAAAAATATAGGGATAAAAAGCTGATATACAAAGAACTTTTGTAATCCTAAGAAGGTTTAGTTGATAAAGGCAAGTAAAGCACAGCTTCGTTATTGCTCTGGTCCACCGTGTTTGCTTAAAGAGACCTGAGTGTTCTGACTGGTGGAGGTATTGCAGGGTAATTGGGACTCTTACCTAATACGCTTTTCATCAAGTTGCAGCTGTGTTCCTGTCTGTACCATGGTAGGAGTAATGAAAACTCAGTGTATAAACTAGCCCCCACACAAAACCAATTTCTGCTGCTCCAGCCCAACTTGCAAGAATCACTGTATTTGGCAAATCCTTCATTTTAATTTATGTTTCCCAAAAAAGGTAATTCCTTTAGGAAGCAATAATTTTCATCTCGGAACAGAGCTGCTTTCAATTTAGGTATAAAGCTACAGGAATCTTGCCATTATCAAACCAGAAACCATCTTTTAAACCCATATGGGCTGGGACTTGCAGACCATTCATGAAACAACCAACTATGCAGTGATCATGCGCTGGTAGAGCTCACGCTCCTGAGGAAAATGGGAAGAACAAAGAGTACAGTCAGGACTCTGAATTTTAGAAAAGCAAACTTCCAGCTCCTCAAGGACATAGTCAGAAGGACTCCCTAGGAAACGGTCCTCAGGGACA